AAGGAACAGCTGAAATGTTCTTTTCCCACCTCCCCCAAAAGCTGATGACCTCACACAATGCTCACACATCATTTGTTTCCTAACTTTCTGTACTTGCTTTAGAGCTTGCTCAGCTGTCTCTGACCGGATCTGCACATCCTACATGACAGTTTCTCCTAGGAAGCTCTCTGTCTGCCGAGTCCACGCTTGAGAGGCCTCCTCTTGCAGAGTGTGACTGAATTGCAGAAGGCAGTTTTTGGTGGTGAGCAAGTTGTCTTGTCTTTTCCACCACTTTCCAAGTCAATTGACCTCTGTCTCATCACTTTGAAGAAATTGAGGCATGGAGAAGGGACGTGGAAGGAACAGAGAGCAGTGTCTGTGGCAACTTCTGGGGGTCTTGTTTCTGGATTCCACCTGCTCTGTTTGAGGGAGGTACTATAGCTGACAATGAACTACTGTTTGGTGAGCATCAGCTGTGAGCCAGCACGTGACATCCATCCAGACGTGTGAGTTATCCTCTTGGCAACTCTGAGCCTCCTTAGCCCCAACAAGATGTAAAAGATAGAAAAGGAGGGCGTGCGTAAATCAAAATACTTCAGACAATACAAAAGAACATAAAATGAAAGTAAAAGTCTCCTGTTCCACTCCCTCTCCCCAAATAATATGTAGTCTTCATTTCAGTGGCTGCCTGTGTACTTGACAGATGTAATAATAGTTTTATGAGTGAGGAAAGAAAGGTTCTCAAGCGAACACAACACGGCTACCTGTTTCCAGGCATAGCACCTCTCACTGTTGTACTTGCACGAAAGTGAACGGGGAGGAAGGAGCAAAGTCATAGATCATAAGGCCTGTGAGATTAGAATTGATAGGATCTTGTTTTTTTCTTTTTTTTTCTTTTCATTTCTTCCTATGCCATCCAAAAATGTTGTTTTCAGAAACCCATAACATACTAATAATTATTTGTAGTGGCTGCATTCCTCCCGGGCCTTGGTGTAATTGTACAAGCCATTCTCCATGCCTTATGACCAAGTCCTACAGCTGCCTCTACCCTGTGATAGGCCCAGGACTGGGACATGGCTCTGAAGCTTTGGATTTTCCTGACTATCCCTTAGGGTTGTTGGGACATTCCAAGGAGAGAAAAGGAAAAAGCTGTGCAAATTTAAAGTTTCTCTATGTAAATATGATTCCTGCTTTTCAAAGGTGACTTTAGGACTCAGTGGCTGTGCAGTTGGAACAATAGAGATTTAGGGATCTTTGCAAAGGGGTGTGCGTTTGGCATTTGATGATTTGCACTAGGTGTATCTGTATCTGTAGGGGCAGCATTAGGAGGGTGTCAAAGTGAAAGAAGTTACTCTTTGTCTGTGAGGATGAGAGCTCTGCAAGTGCAAAGTGGATTTCTTTCTGCTGGAAGCAAGTTGGTTGGGACGCAGACAATCTGTGTGGGCACAGTGGCTAACTGATAGTATTAGAAATGTGGCCTAAAAGATGCTTAAGTCTGTCCCTTTGGTAAAGATGCACCCTAATAGCTGTTCATAGACTACTGCGGACAGACATGGTACCTTCATCGGAAAAGAAGGCAGGAACTTTTCAGAAACATTATTTAATTTATGTGCCAATTCTTCCAGGATGCTCATTTTTGTCTTGATTTATTTTTTAAATTCTTCTTCGGAGGCTTCCTTAATTTAGGGACTTTCAACTGGGAAGAAATTATATGATAAGCTGCCACCAGAGTCTTCTAGGTTTTGCAGAGTAGAAGTGGATGGGAAAGGGCTGGTGGCCTGGACAGCTGTAATATTGCAATATGCACACACTGAGATTGTGGAGAGAGAATCTGAGGGTGTCTCAGGAAGAAGGAGAGATGATGAAGGAGCCTGGGGAGCAGGCTGATTCCAAGAAGAAACTGTGAAAAGAGGGAAAAATCGAGTTTCTTGAAGGCCCAGCCAGGCTTCTCAGCTTGTCTTCAGAGTGCATCAGGACAAAGGTTGCTGCGCCCCCTGGTGTTAGACTGACATCAGCTGCCAGAGAGCTGTGTGGAGCCGCAGAGACTCCTAGATTCGCTGGAGAAGCCTCTGGTCAGATGCCTTTTTTTCTGTTTGCCAAGGGAGTTGGAGTTGAAATGGCCTTGCTTTCTCAATTCCGGAGTCTAAATAGAGACTCCAGTGTAGAAAGGGCAAGGTTTATGTGTATGTTAGTTTATTGTGCTTCTTTTGTTTTCTTTGCTTGCAATTTGGGCTAACAAGACCATGTCTGCTTAAAGGCAACCCTGTCGAGTAAGAAATATACTGACTTGAAAAAAACAAACCTCTGTAGTTTGGGAGACGTTCTGTTCTGGCAGGGGAGTCATTTGGAATTCCAGCATCTTGCCTTAAAATCAAATACTTTGGAGTAAGCTATTTTCAAGGGCTTTCTAAGCTCCAGTACTCAGTAATCATTACAGTGCGCCCTCTTTTCTCAGAACCTCGAAAAAGTGACTTTTTAAAAGTGCCAAGCCGGGCGTGGTGGCGTTCACCTTTAATCCCAGCACTCGGGAGGCAGAGGCAGAGGCAGGCGGATCTCTGTGAGTTCAAGGCCAGCCTGGCCCACATAGTGAGTTCCAGGACAGCTGGGGCTACAGGGAGACCCTGTCTCAAAAAAGACGAAAAAAAAGAAAAGTGTCTGTGCAGGTGCAGATGTGTGCTTCAGCACTGTAAGTTCTCTGATTCTGAGCGAAGTTTGAAAGTGAAATGTACCTGCTTTCAGCACAGAAGCCGCTCACCCTCCCACCCTGTGTTGACATTGCTTGAAAGCTGTAGAAAATGCCAAGGCTGTCACATCCCTAGACAAATGTAATTTCTTCCCATATGCAAAATATGGATTCTTAAATTTATAGACAAGTATCCCAGTCACCACCCATCAAAGTAGCTTCTTTTTTTCAAGAGACAGATAAATGCAGAGTTCCACAACTGGTCACACACACACACATACACACACACACACACACACACAGATTCTCTGTGAATTGCCCAAGCCTAAGTGGCACATCTAGGGTGCAACCTCTACACCTAAGGCTCACAGAACATAGAACAAGGGATGAAGAGAACACTAATGCATCTTTGAATTCTCATCAATGAAGCTCCCTCATGCAACAGAGGGCCAGGAACACAAAAGGCTACAAATGGGTCAAACGCAGAGAATAAGAGTCTGTAGAGTGTGGGTCCTTGGACAGGACTCCTGTATTAAAATTCATATACCCAGGGCTCAGGGACCATTTTGGAAGGGGAGGGGTGTAAGAGCAAGGGAGGAAGTGCATGACTATATGCCTGGGACCCTTCTCATATGAGCCTACAGCAGTGGTGTTAGCATGCACAAGACCTATGCAAACTTAAGCAGTCAAAAACCCAGCATAGAACTGCGGAAATGAACAGCAAGCTCCGATCTTAGATGAATTATTGGCAGCTGATTACTGCTGGCTGAGGAAGAGCTGATCTTCATAAAGGGAGGGACTCTAGATTGGCTGACTAGATCTCAGCGGATGAACTTGCACTGAGGGACGTCTGGGGACACTAACCGTGCATGATGGGCCTTAACACAAATGACAGAATATATGAATTCCAGTGGGGAGAGGGGTGATTTTCTGTATGCAATACATAAAAATTCAATAAATTTTTTTAAATCGGATAGAAAAAAAGAGAAAGAGCTGTAGAATGAGCAGGACTTCAGTCCTGTTGCCTCTTTTAAAAATAAAGTACTAAGTGTCATGCTGGAAATTCTGCTCTGTGTCACATGTGGTAGGTGTGAACACTTACTTTAATAGTTCTAGGCATGAGACCAAAAACTTCCCCCAGAATTAGCAGAGTTTTCAGCTACAATCTAGCTAACATTTTTCTACAAATAGGTATGAAGACCAGTCTGGGATTCCATTGAAATTTAAGGCCATCCCTCAGATAGTCAGGTGATCAAGGCCACTTCTTCCTTCCACAGTGCACTCCAGCTGTTATCTCTGTAGAGGATACAGTTTACTGTTACTATTTATTAAGGAAACCATGGTTGTCCAGTGAAGATCACTGGAGCAGCAACCTTACTTCTGTAACTGTGGCTAAAGTGTATAGCTGTCTTACCACAGGAGAGAGTGTCACCAGTCCATGTGCTATAGGGAGGAGTCAGTCCCTGTCTGAGAGAGGTCAGCCAGGAGGAAGAATAGCACCCAAATGAGATGACCTATGGCAACTGACCCATGCCTCAGGTGAGCAAGGTCTGGAGAACAGTTAGTATGGTGACTCGGAGCACAGTGTCCTCCTTTAAAGGAAACAGTTATTTTACAAACTGAACTGTAGATTTCCAGATTTCATATGTTGCAGTTCTAACCCCCAGAATGTGACATATTTGGAGGCAAGGTTCCTCTAAGAATTACATTTATGGAGCTGGAGAAATGGCTCGGTGGTTAAGAACACTGGCTATTCTTGTAGAAGACCCAGGTTCGAATCCCAGCACCCACATGGCAGCTAACAACTGTCCATAACTCCAGTTCCAGGGGATCCAATAGCCTCTTCTGTCCTCTGCCGGCATTGCATGACACAGGTGCACTTACCTACATGCAGGCAATACATGTATACACATAAAATAAAAATAATAAATTTTTTTTAATTACATTTATTTTGTGTGCACTTGTGGAGGTCAGAGGATGACTCTTAGGAGTTCTCTCCACTTTGTGGGTCCTGGGGGGTCAAACTCAGTTTGTTAGTCTTTTAAAAAAGATACTTCATTTATTATTTTTATTTTATGCGTACAAGTATATTGCCTGCATGTATGTAAGTACACCCATGTTGTAATTCAAGTTAGGCACCATGTGGGTGCTGGGAATTGAACCTGGGACTTCTGCAAGAGCAATCAGCACTTTTAACCCCTGAGCCACCCTTCCAGCCCCTCGGTTTATCAGTCTTATCAGCAAGTACTTTTACCTGCCAAGCCCTCACTGCCCTAGCAATCTTTGGAGAGAGAGTAATGCTTCAATGAGGTGACTCTTAATCTAATGTGACTGACAGGGTCCGTCTAAGAAAAGATTGGCACAGACGTACAAAGCAAGACCATCTGAAGACAAAGGGATAAAGACACTGTGTACAGGCCAAGCAAAGAGACCTCAGAAGAAACCAGCGCTGCTCACCTTGGTTTCAGGTTTGGGACTCTAAAACTGTGAGATAATACATTTCCAGTTTTGTGGTATTTTATTATGGCACCAACCATAGTGCAACCATTTGGAAAGGCAGATCCAATGTCAACAGATTTTCCAGCATGAGAGCCTGTTTTTTTGAATATTGGCAGCAGGGCTAGCTTTCTGGGAGTGTAATGTGACCAGTCACGCAAGATTCCTTACTTATAAGTGGCCTGTGTTTGCACTGATGTTCTGCTCTCTCCATCTTCACATTCTGAATTCCCAACAGAGGTCCTTCCTTTTTGTCTTCCACTAGATCTCCAGAACTCACATACTTTGTCTGGTTGACAAATGACACACGTTTTAAATAATATGTGTATTAAGATTATGGGAACCCAAATAAAACTGGAGCTAGACACTACATTGAGCTTTTTGTAACCAACTGGACTAAGACTTCCCATCCCTGGTAATCACTGGGAGAGAATTTATGGAGCCCATGGTTTTCTAAGGGTGGAAAGAAAGCCATGAATATTCCCCAAGTGTGATTCCGCCTGAGCTTATGTGGCTCTGACCAGGATTTTTCTTTCCTTAGGGTTTAGCCCCAAGGATCTCGCAATGTAGGTATCTTTTAAAAATTAGTTTCTTTTTATTTGTGTGTAGTGTATATGTGTACGTGTGCGTGTGTGCCTGTGTGTGTGTGTGCCTGTGTACATGTGTACCTGTGTGCGTGTGTGCCTGTGTGTGTGTATGTGTGTGTGTGCACGCCTGTGTGTGTGTGCATGTGTGTATGTGCATGTGTGTGTCTGTGTGTCTGTGTGTCTGTGGCCAGAGGTCAGTGCCAGGTGTTTTCCTCAATTATTCTCCATCTTGTTTTCTGAGACAGGTCTCTCACTGAACATGGAGCTCCTTAGTTGACTGCACAGGCTTCCCAAGCTCTGGCAGTCCTCCTGTCTCCACCTCCAGCCCCAGCACTAGGGTTACAAATTACATGGGTGCTGGGGATCTGAACTCAAGTCCTCATATTTGTGCAGCAGGCATTTTGCCAATTGAACCATCTCCCTGGACCCTCAATGAGACTTTGGGGGTAAGGAGTGGAAGGTTATGGTTTAAAATTGATGTGTTTGTGTGTATCACATTGACAAAGGGGGAAGTATGATGATCAGCTTTGTCAATTTGACCAACCTAAAATCACCTGGGAAAAGAGTCTTGGTGAGGAATTGAATTATCTATATTAGGTTGGCCTGTGGACATGTTTGTAAGGGATTGTCTTAATTAAAAGTTAATTGATAAAATTTGCAGGGCTTATACTGAGTTCAATATTGTATAACTGTATTAATTCAACTGTGAACCTAGAAACTTACAGCCACTTGTAGGCAATACATGCATACAAATAAATAAATAAATAAATAAATAAATAAAGTAAAATATTTTAAAAAAGTGAAAAATTAGTTGATGTGGGAAGACCATGCCCAGTGTGGGTGGCATCATTCCCTTGGCCGGGTTCTGAACTATAGAACAGAGACATCGAGCTGAGCCCAAGCATGCATGCATGCGTACATTTATCTCTGTTTTTCACTATGGATGCAGTGTGACCACCTGTCTCAAGTTCCTGCCTTGACTTGCCTGCAGTGATTGACTATAACTTGGAAGTGTAAGCTGAATAAACCCTTTCTCCCCTAAATTGCTTTTTATTAGGGTGTTTTATCACACACCTAGAACAAGGCCCCTCTTTCTCTGTGCTGAGCTGGCCCTAATATATTCTCAGTTAGGGTGAGTTCAGCAGGTTGAGCTGGAAAATAAAATCAGAGCTACCTGTGCAGATGACCAGGCAGCTCTGAGCACTTAACTACAAATAAACTATATCCTCTGATTTCAAGGTGCATGCCATAGCAGTTGATTCAAATTTGGAAGAGAAAGTTTAGCTCCCAGTGAAAGAGAGCTCATCATTGGTGAGTCGAGTTCAGTCATGAGGCTGTTATGGAAAGGTTCTGTTTTTAAGGATATGAATTGATTTATACAGGCACACTGGAAATAATACAGTGGAATGTTTGGTCTGGAGGTCTGCTTTGCTGGTTCCGTTTCTGCCCAGCACTAACTGGAGAGTGTAAATTTTAAAAGGAGTTATTTCTTGTGCACGTTATACGCTCTCCCTTAAGGGAGTAAGTGAAACACGTTTGAGACATTCAGCATTTCGTGAAAGAAGGTTGACATATAAATTAACATAGAGCACTCTTTTTCACTGCAGGACCGCAGATGCACAGAACGATGCTTCCAAGTCATGCCAGGAAGAAAGAAAGCGAAGCTCTCTGACCCTTGTTGGAGAAGTTACTTTCCCTACCTCTTTGCTGTAAATTTCCCAAACGCTCTGACTCTGATTTCAGAAAAGAAGGTTTTATTTTTAATCTTCCTTACAGTTTACACAAAGAGAGCCCTGGAAAGAAGATTGTGATGGGCTAAGTACTGTAAGCCTGCTGTGAGCAAGGCGTGGGCATGGTGCAGCAGAGAGAATCCTATCACATCTGCTCCTAGGTCTAAGAGTCCCACATTAGCCAGTGCCCTCTTGTCCTGACAGCCCCTCTTCCCCCATTACCAAGAAACAGTAGGATTTGGGGAAGGGTGATCCAATACTTGAGGTTTGAAACTGAATATGTCAGACAATTTGTCAGAGTTAAGTTCTAACTGATAGTCCCCCTTAATCACATGGAAAATAAGAAACTTGCTTTAAAATTTTTACTTAAAGACCATTACATTAAGAGAAATGGAAAATTATATCCACATAAAACTTGTACAAAAGTGCACATCGCAGCAGCAGGACCCGGGACATAGCTCAGTCACGGAGCATGTACATAGCATGTGCATGGGCCTAGGTTATATCTCCAACACTGGGGGAAAAGGAAAAAAGACCATCTCCACAGTGTCATTTTAAAGGCTGCTAAAAAGGGAAAAGAGTTTAAATATCTGCCAACAAATGGATAGACATAATGCGGTATATCCATATAATGAAATAGCATTCAGCAATAAAAAGGATTGGAACGAAAGGCATGACAGTATGGATAGCTCTTAAAACATCATGCTAAGTAAAATAATCCCATCACAAGGGAGGGCATATTATATGAGATTTCTGGCATAAACAGGCCTAGCTGTCTATGGAGACAGAAAGCAGACCAGTGGTTGGCTACAACTTGGGGAGAGGAAGTGGGCTTTGGGCAACAGGAGAGATGCAGAATTCCTTTTCAGGGTGATTAAATGTTCTAGAATGAATTGAGGTGATAGTTGTTTTTCTTGACGACTGTATTTTTTAAAACCACTGAAAATGTATTCTTAAATATGTAAATTACATGGTGCATCAATTACATCTCAATAAAGCCATTAATATTTTTTAAAGAATACCTTAAAAATTGGGTTGTTTTTCTTTATCAGAACCTAGTCACCTTGTGATAAATGTATTCAGAATTTAATAACAGATCTTACAAGCTGAAATGATATATAAAAAGGTTTTCCTGAGTGGAGAGATTCTGACTTGAAAATCCAACCTTACTCACAATACTCATAACTTCTTATTTGATCTGAAATTATTAAAATATATTTAAATGGGGCTGTAAATATGACTCAGTAGTTAAAGAGTGTATTGCTCTTGCAGAGGATTGGAGTTTGAGTCCCAACACCCATACCAGGCAGCTCACAACTACCTATAGCTCCAGCTCCAGGAGATCTGATACCTGCTTCTGGTCTCTGGGAATAGTGCTTATTTGCACAGTCCCCTCCCCTCCACACGCACGTGCACACACACATAATTAAAAATAAAACAAAAATTTAAACATATGTGTATACACACACACACACACACACACACACACATATACACACACATGCTTAAACAATGACACCGAAGGCGAATTATTGGGGTTTTCCTTTCTCTAATTTTCCCTTTATTTAGTTACTAACACTCCAGTTTTCTCTGAATGAAGCACCAATCCCATTTTCAGTTCCTGTGCTCTGGCTGGCAATTGCTGGCTGACTAAGCATATTCTGTGCCCAGGCTTATCACTTAGATACCCTATTGAATTGTGTACTGATTGACACTAGCTCATGTTGATCCATAGAGACCAATTGGTAAGCAGGGAATTTGTGAACCATTTGTTACAACTGCTGTGGATATTTAAAGCGTATAAACTTATAATGAAATAATCCTAAAAATCTTACAAATAAAAGGAGTGACACATGACTTCTCAGCTCATAACCATTTCACATGTTTGTCATCATCTGTGCTCTAGAGGTGACGGCTCTCTATTGGATCTGCATGGTAGAAGGAAGCACTGATGTGCTACTCTGCACCTCTTCCAAATTCCATGGTCAGTGATTTCCCTTCATATCCTGAAGCTGATCCTGGTGGCAGAACTTACAGAATGGGGGCAAAGCTATTGAACAGAGTCTCCTCACCTGGTAAGATTGCTAAACATTTACCAACTATAGGGGGTGCCCCCCAAAATATATGTTCATCTAAATTCCCAGGACTTGTTATTGGAGCCTTATTTGAAAAAGGTCTTTGGGGCTGGAGAGCTGTTGAGAGCACTAGTTGCTCTTGCAGAGGACCTGGGTTCGATTCCTAGCATCCACATGGCAGCTAACAACTGTAACTCCAGTTCCAGGGGATCCTATGCCCTCTTCTGAGCTCCGTGGGCATTGGTGCACTTACATAACAGTCAAGCAATACACTCATACACATAAAATAAAAATAAATAAAAATATTTTTAAAAAGGAAAAGGTCTTTGTAGTTGTAAGAGGCAAGAAAGCAGTGTGACCAGAGGCTCAGGTTAGAGTGAGTGGCCACAAACCTGAAATTCCTAGAGCCATCAGAAGCTGGAAGAGGGGGAGAGAGGGAGAGGGAGAGGGAGAGGGAGAGGGAGTCCCTCTGTCATGCTGTTTGAGGCAGCATGGTCCCACAAACACTTTGACTTTAGATTCACCCTCGTGTGCTACAGCAGCCCTTCCTGTGGTTTGGGGTAAGCGCAGGACCCAGTCCAGCACAATGGGAAGTCAGCTTTCCCTGGAAAACAGCCTGTCCTTGTGTGGGGGCTGCTGAGCAGTTCCACCATTGCTATCACAGCACTCTGGGTGAAAGTGCTACAGAAAGTGGCAAGTGGGACTCAGTGGGACACTCCCATTAATGTTGTTACCTGCCTGGGTCTGTTCTACCCTGGCGATATATTTTATTAAATGAGCAAACTAATTTCTTTTCTTTTTAAACCTGGTTCCTAAACAATGATACATTAATTTTCAAAGAACATGTGAATATATTCATTTACACTGAACACTGCAAATATTTAAATGACTTTTTATTGATGTCACAAACCTAATTTTTTATTATATAGTCCATAATTTTCTGGACAGCCCTAAACTCGTGTAATTTAATTATTTTTCTTAAAAGAGAATTTGTTTAATATGACATTTATTTATTTAATATGACATTAATATGACATAGGATTCTTTATAACATTTAAATGTTTTCACGAATCAAATAAAAATCATTTAGAAAATTGTTTGAGTTTTGAAAATATCTTTACAGTAGCATTGATTTTCAATAATGTGTTTTTGATAATTTTGTTCCTCTTAAGAATTTGTATTAATCAGAATAGACAAGCACATTTCTGAGAAAGCATGATGCAGAAGTTTCAAAGGACAAATAATGTATTGCACTATTTTTTAAAATGAAAATAAAGCTGAGGCTGGAGAGATGGCTCAGCGGTTAAGAACACTGGTTGTTCTTGCAGAAGACCTGGGTTCGAATCCCAGCACCCACATGGCAGCTAACAACTTTCCATAACTCCAGTTCCAGGGGATCCAGCAGCCTCTTCTGTCCTCCACAGGTATTGCACGACACGAGTACTTACCTACATGCAGGCATAACACTTATACACATAAAATAAAAATAACAAATAAAATATTTTTTAAAAAATGAAAATAAATCTAAGTATGGAGCATATACCTGTAATCACCATACTAGGAGGCTGAGGCAGGAGGATGGGGAGTTCAGGGCCAGCCTGAGATACATAGCAAGCCTGTGTCTCAGAAAAAAAGAGAACAGAATCTTTTTACCTTTAGTATTTATGTCTTCAGTATTTCTATATTTAGCCATTTTTTCCAGGGTGAAGAGGTTTCAAATGATTTTTGTCCCCCATAGTAACCCTATTTCAAATTTCCTCTACCTTCAAAGTAACATTGTTTTTGATGAACACAATTTGGATGAATTGCCAGTAAATTTTCTTTTTTTAAAAAAAATTTATTTATTATTTTTATTTTATGTGTATGCATATATTGCCTGCATTAGGTAAGTGCACCCATGTCATGCAATGCCCACAGAGGACAGAGGAGGCTGTCGGATACCCTGGAACTGGAGTTATGGAAGGTTGTTAGCTGCCATGTGGGTGCTGGGATTCGAACCTGGGTCTTCTGCAAGAACAGGCAGTGTTCTTAACTGCTGAGCCATCTCTCCAGCCCTGCCAGTAAATTTTCAACTCTAATTAAATTCATGTAAGTTTAATTCAAGTAACCTTTTTTTCTGTTTGTTTTCTTTTCTGTTCGTTTTTTGAGACAGGGCCTCACTATAGGACAGTCTGCTCTCTGATGCTTAATCCTTCTGCCTCAGGCTCCCAAAGAATGGGCTTATAGGTATATACCACCATGCCCAGCTGTGGTCAATTTTTTGTTTTGTTTTGTTTTTGTTTGAGAGAGGTTTCCCTGTAGCTCCAGTGGGCCTAAAGGTGGGCACCACCATACCTGACAGTAGTCATTTTCTTGGTAGTTGATGGAAATCCCCAAAGCAATGATTCTTGAGGTAAGGATTCCCTGTGGCTGAATGAACCCCCAAGAAGCGTGACACCAACAGAACAACACCTACTCATTTTGATTTAAATTGGAAATTGAAGTTTGATGTGGTGGCGCATACCTAAATCCTAGCACTAGAGAGGTAGAGGCAGGAGGATCTCCATAGGCTCGTGGCAGCCCAGTCTACATAGTAAGTTCCATGCTGGCCAGGGCTACATAATGAGACGAACAAACCAAAATGGAAACGCAGTGCTGGGGTGCTGGAAATGTAGCTCAGAGGCAGAGTGTATGGGTTTGACCTTGCACCACAAAAAAAAAGAAAAGGAAATGGTAAATGAAAATGTGTAAATATTGTATTATTATTTAGCACCTATATTGACTAAAACATTATCAAAAATAGAATTGAATACTCTCAAGAACATGCAAGCAAACCATATATACACATTAAGCAGATAAATGATTTTGCTAAGACCATAATGCATACATTGATAGAGCAACAGTATTAATTCAAGTCTTTGCTCTATAATAATCCTCCTCTCTTTGCTACACAATAGCAAGATGTTTCAGAAGACTGGATTGTTCATTATGAAGCTAAAGGAAAATGGGAGGAAAGAAAAAGTTTTAAGATTCCCTCCTCCTCCTCCTCCTCCTCCTCCTTCCTCTCTCTCTCTCTCTCTCTCTTTCTTCTTTTGTTATTTATTTATTTATTTTTGACAGGGTTTCACTGTGTAGCCCTGACTCGTCTGGAACTCAGTGTGTGGACCAGGCTGACCTCCAACTCACAGAGATTCTCCTGCCTCTGCCTCCTGAGTGCTGGGATTAAAGGTGTGTGCCAAACACCTCGTCTAAGATTCTCCATTTTCATAGCCTCATTAAAGCCTAGAAAACTGTGAGCAGATTAGGGTTATCAATCATAAAGGAAGACAGATATTTACGGAAAAGACAAGAATTCTATTTTTTTTCCATTAACAGAAACCACTCTCAAGTATTACTCATTCTGAATAACTCTAGCTGAAGGAGCCCAGCAATTTTGCTGTTTTCCCTCAAGCTAAACAGAAATGCACCACCAAAATTGAAATATAAGGAACTGGAAAAAAATCAGTGATTTGTTCCTTGATGGCAACTTTATGCCAAAGATATAAGGATTTCTTTACACTAAATGATTTTCTTCAGTTGGAAACAGCTGATAGAAATCTAGGTGAATGGATATAATTAAATAGCATGTAGCTCCAACTTTAAATGCCCTTTTTCTTCTGTTTGAGCTCAAGCAATTCAACATTTGCCCAGGAACTGGAGTTGAGGACTAGCTTTAAGAGTTAGGCCCTAGAGACATTTCAAAGTTGGCTGGACAAAGGCTCGGATGACTGCATTGGGGAACCATCCTGCCTTGGACTCAAATGGAGATTGATGACCTAATATATCTTTCCCAGCACTGATGGCCATAGTTTTATGAGCATCAAGAACTGGGTGTCTGCCATTGTCAACAAGCAGGGCTTCTGCAGAGCCTGTCAGTGCACACAGGCTGAGCATCCCCAAAGGCATGTCACAGTCTAGGATCTTGCTTGAGCCTTCACCACATGTAGGAGGGAAACTCTGCTCGGGAGGATGGTCTTTAGAGGAAAGGAAGTGTACTATTGCACTGCTTGGTTGCAGAAAGCTGGGGTAGGGCAGTGAGGTTTCCCTGCCACACTTGACTAAGGAAGCCAGGGTTAATAGCTCCTCATCTCAGGCCCCACCCAGAGCCTTGGATCAAGTGTTTGTAATCTTGCATCTTCTTTACTGAGTCCCCTTAATTGTATAAGCTATAGAGACTCCCAAATGGAGAGATTTCTCTGCTAGAAATTCCACTAAAATATAGCTTGATGAATGTATAAAGAATAGACAGGAACTAGAGTAGAGAGATAGCTCAGTGGTTAAGGACCTTGCGTCTTTAGTTCACAGCACCCAAGCCAGGTGGCTTATAACTGCCTACAACTCCAGCTCTAGCAGATCCAACACCCTCTTCTAGCCTCTGCAGGCACGCGCGCACACACACACACGCACACACACACAGAGTTACATACACATACACCTTAAAAGGATTAAACACACATTTTTAGTGTGTGGGGGAGATGTGGCGGGGTGTGGGGGGTGTGCACATGCATGCACGTTCAAGAGCACATGGGTATGTATGCTGAGTGCAGAGGGGTCAGAGTCCCTGGAGTTGGTGTTACAAGGGGTTGTAAACAACCCAACATGGGTTCTGAGAGGCAAACTCAGGTCCTCTTCAAAGCAGCCCACACTCTTAACCACTGAGCTGTCTCTCCAGCCCCATCTTTGCCTTTTACAGACCTGCTTCACCCCTGGCAAATCACCTCAGCCCAAGACACTTCAGTTTATCTCTGGTTGTCAGTTGTACTTTCTCAACTACAGCAATGAGTAAAAAACAGTTCAAGTTTAAGTGTCTCCATACCAGCTCCTCCCTGAAAGATTTCTTTGTAAGGTATTAATTATTTGAAAACGTTGAATGCTGGAAGAATTTTCATGTATGTTCTACTGTTTGATGTTTGGGTATCCCGATTTATCTTGTTTGATAGTAAAGTAATAATACTTGTCTTCCACACTTCCTGATGAGGGAT